ACTCCACCTGCTTCACCAGCCCCACAGCACTGAGGTAGCGGTGGGCAAACCAGAGGTGTCTGCTGGGCTTCCGGGCAGCCAGGTTGGCCGTCAGTTTGTCTCCACCACAAACCACCAGCACCTCTTGCAGGGAACGCACCCGGCATGGCAGCTGGGCCATGGGGGCCAAACTTGCTACCACAAGCTCGTGGAGGACCTTTGGGTAGGCTACCCCTGCAGTCACTGATCGGACCTTCTTCAGCTCCTGGCCAGACATGAGGGCAAAGCGAACAGATGACAGGACTTCCTTGGCTAGATCCTCTTGGCCATCTCCATTGGCCATAAGCCACCGGGATGCTGCTTCCAAAGCCTCTAGTTCATGGAGGACATTGAGACCATCAGAGCGGAGGAGGCGGATGAGAAGATGTGCAGGAAGATCCAGGAAGGCTGGTGTGGCCACCACGCTGGGGAAGGTGGCCAAGATGTAGTCCTCTGCTACACGGGCCACCTGGGCCAGCCCATAAGCCACAGCAAAGGCCAGCACATCCAGGCCAGTTTCTGGGGTCAGGCCATGGGTGAAAACATCCAGGCAGAGGGTGAGGAGCCCCCAGGCCTGGTAGCGCAGGGAGGTCTCAGCTGCCTCCAGGACTGCGGGCCACGGCCCTGCCACAGCCCCGGTGTAGGCAAAGGACAGGAGGAGGCGCAGCTCGGCTGGGGACAGCCCTGTGGCCAGCGGGGTGGTGGGGTCGTGGGTGGCCTCCCGCATGGGGCAAGTGAAGAGGGCCCGGAAGAAGTCACAGGAGCAGCTCAGAGCCAGGCGCTGAACTAGGGGGAAGGAGGAAGAATGGTGTGGGCAGCAGAGGACCCTTTGCACCATGCAGCCCGCTGGGAACCCGGGTGTCCTGGCCCTCCCCCCTCCCAAACCCCCCGCTCTCCTGAGGGGACCAGCCCCATGGGCACCTCTATCTCCTCATCCCCACCTGGAGCCTCAGCCCCCAGCATCCCTGCCAGGGGACCCAGCTGTCCCAGCATGCCCTGCCCCCTTCCCAGGCCCTCCCGGGGGACCCCCACCCCCAGCTCACCTGGGATGACCTCGTCCCCTGCCTGGAGCTGGAGGTCGCAGCCCAGGCCACTGGCATGGAGTTGCTCCATGGCTCTTAGCGTCTCCCACTGCTCCTCCAGGGGCTTGGGACCCCCCTCCTGGGGGTCACTCTCCAGCTGTGGGGCACAGGCGGCCACCACTCGGGGGGCTCCCAGGGCCCGGGCGGTCCTTCTCCCGGCCATGGGGCACAGTTCCTCCATAGGCAAAGGCCAGCACGGCCCGCCAGCCCCATAGCGTGGCCCCAGGAGGCAGGGGGACATGGGGTGGGGGGCTCTGGTGCAGCTTTCTGGTCCTGTCCTCCAGGAAGTGGAGGAAGAAGGAGCTGATGGAGGCCAGGACCACGGCATGGGCCACATCGCCCTCTGGGCCCACGGCCACATCCACCAGCTGTCCTGCAGTGCGGAGGTGGTCAGCGGTGGCCAGGAAGTGTCCAGCGTGGGCCCCATCCCGCAGGCTCCACTGGGCTGGGGCCGGCCCCTCTGCAACCCACATCTTGCCTGTGGGAACACACGGATCGGGGGGGTCAGGGTGCTGTCTCCATAGCCAGAGCCTCTGGCCCACAGCAGGAGTCCTGGCTGGGTACACGGGGTCCGGCTACTGGCACTGCCCCACAGTGAAAGCCACTGGATCCATCGCCAAAGCCTCTACCCCATAGTTGAGGCCACCAGGAACTGTCACTGCCCCATAGCTGAATTTAAGGCCCCTTGGCAAAACCACAGCCCCATAGGTGAGTCCAACAGGCCATGTTGCTGCCTCATAGCTGAGGCTGATGTCCCTCATCTGCCTCACTGCTGGCTACTGACCCACAGCCAATGCTGCTGCCCCAACTGAAAGCCACAGCCCCATAGCTCAGTCCACTGTCCCCCATCAAACCCTCCACCCTGTAGCAGAAGCCACCAAGCCCTTCCCCAACCGTTGCCCCATAGTCGAAACTACTGGTGCTCCAACAGCAGCAAAGCCGCTGGTCCCCAGAACAGCTCCCCGGCGAAGCCGCCTGTCCCACCTGTTTGGTGCACGGCAGTGACTGCTGTGCGCTGCCTGTCACGTGTTGCGCTGCCTGTCGCCTGTTGCAATGCATTGCCCTGCCAGTTGCGTGTGACGTTGCACGTCACGCACCCTCTTGCACTGCTTACTGTTGGGGTGTGCCGATCCTCGTGTGGCACACTGTGTCACGCCGCCGTGCGCTGCACGCTGTCACCCCCCCCTGCTCCGTCACGAGTGGCACCTCACGTGTTGCTCGCTGTGTTTGCACGGTGTCGCGTGTCCTTGCTCAGGCCACACGCTTTGCAACCCGGCGTGGTGCATGCCATATGCTGTGTCCTGCATTGCCGTGTGGCGTGCCGCACTGTGCCATGCCACGCACTTGTCCCCCCTTACCGCCTGCCGCTGCTCCGGAAAGCTCCTGTGACCCCCCAGGAATGTGCCTGGGTAATTATAGCCCAGACAGGACACGTGGCCACAGCCGGGAGCTGGGAGAGGCCCAGGCGGAGGGAGGTCCAAGGCCCCGGAGCCCTGGGATGGGGCGGTGGGGACACCCAGGTTCCCTGAGGACAGGCAGTGGGGCGGGTGGAAGCTGCCGGGAGTTTTTTCCCCTATCAGGCAGCGGGAAGGTGCAGGGTTACCTGGGCAGGTCCTGCTGGGGCTCTCCGGCCCATCAGACCACCCCCAAACCTTGCTCACCTCCAGAGCCCAGGGTGAAGCAGGGCCCCCCTCAAAAGTCCTTGGGTGAGAGAGAAACAAACCCCCTGCTCTCCCAGCCCCATGGGGGGTGACACCACCACCCACTGTGCTCCTCAACTGGAGCCCAGCCCCTCTGACCCCCGCACCAAAGAGCCGGGGGTCCCCCAGCCCTGGTACCAGCAAGCACATGGGGACACCAGCCCCTTGACCCAGCCCCAAGCACCCCCAGAACCATCCTGCACCCCCCTGGGACCCCCACCTGCCCACAGAGAGCACATACCAGGGAGCAGCACAGCCCGCCGTGGCTGTGACCGTGTGTCCCCCTGTGTCGCTCTGTCCCCTCCTCTGCTGTCCTTGGGTCCCTCAATCCCCTTGTCTCCGGTTCCCCTATCTCCTGTCCCCTCCCCTCACACCTCCCTGTGTTCCCCTACCCCACATCCCTGCTTCCCCTAGTGCCCATATTCCCTGTCTCTATTAACTCATATCCCCGTCCCCAAACGTCCTGTCCCTGTACCCTCATAGTCCCACGTGTCTGGTTGAATTCTGTGTCCCCAAAGATGACGATTTCACAGCTTTTCCAAGTCCATTTTCCAGCACTTACCTACCACAACTGTGAGATTTTTTTTTCCTTCTATCTAGTTAGAATTTCCCTTTCTGCAACTTGTGCTTGTTATTTCTCATCCTTTACTGAGCACCCGAGCCTGCCTTTTCTGTAACCAAAATGGTATTACATCAGCCCTTGACCTTCTTTTCTCCAGGCTGAACGATGCAGTTCTCACCCCTCATCACGCACCCTGTGTCTCAACCCTCTACACCTTCTTGGTGGCTTTGCTGGACATGCTTCAGTTTGCACACAGAAAATTCAGCTGGACACAGCCCTGAGCAACCTGCTCCAACTTTGAGCAGGAAGATCTCCAGGGGTCCCTTCCAACCTCAGCTATTCCCCAATTCTAACCCTGAAGTTGCGGCCTCTAGACTTCCTTAAACGCTTCCCAGATGAAGACCCCAGGCTCCCGAACACCTTGCGGGCAATCTATACCTCCTTCCCCCACCCCAAATTCCTAATCCTCAACCTAGAGCCAAGCGCCTCTTCAGAAGTTTTGACTCCAAACCCTTACTGATGGTCTCAGTGCAGTGCAATCCCAATCCTTGCCAAAAAATCCTGCAGGACCCACTTGAAACTACAAGAACTCCTAAAAGACCAGACTGAAAATGGTAATTGTACCCCTCAAGCTTGCGTGCGCAATAGAGACACGGAGGCAAAGTGACTTGTGCATGAAAAAGACATCTCAGCAGGAGAAGCAGATCGAAGCTTCCTCTCCAACGGCTCCACCTGTTTTGCGTCTCAGCCCCAACACTGCAAACAGCCAGATGATGTCAAAACGTTGCGACAACTGTCGATTTGACAGTATCTTTATTACACAACGTCTTAGAACATACAACATTCAAAAGCCAGCTTGCAGGGAGGAAAGGCTACATTTACAGCTTGGGAGGTCCCGTCAGCCTCCAGCCCTCCTTGTTACCTATCTTCATTAGAGCAGCGGTAATTCCAAACCCCAAACATGCAGTGGTACCAGTCATGTAACTGTGAGCTGGAAAAAACAAATCAAACAATAAAAGATCTATTAGGGCACAAGTGCTATACACTAGATCTCGACAGACTGCAATTTTTCCATGAACTACTCACAGTCCCTTCACCATCAGTAACATTGTTTGCCAAGAGAAATCAGAAAAGCGATCTTTCGTTAAATTTTCTCATGCTTTTAGCTTGCTGTTTAAAATATCAGTTTCTATAATCCACTACCCCATCTCCTTACATAGGCAACCTTAAATTGCTTATTTCAGTGACAAAAATAACAATTGCTGCTTCCAGTTCTCATCAGCTCAGCAACTAAGAAAAGTAAAGATAAATTCTATTTCACTACAATTACAGTTTAAATAAATCCCACACATCTTTAACACCGAGTCTGAAAATGCCTAGAAAAAACAGAGCTGTATAAATATCTGCAGGAGCTAATCTAGCCTGACAAGGTGCCATAGCAGCAACAGCAGCAAGATACAGCTTGTCCCTCAGAGTGCATGAAGAAGTCACAAGGCAGATGTTAGATTCTATTTTCCATGTAAAATAAATCCCATTTGTTGCCAATAAAACATGGATTTCCACAATTATGTTTTTCGTACCCTGCAATTTCAAGTTATAAGGGGTAGTTATAACTGGCGGTACTGGGTCAACTCTCTCTCTGGTCTCCTTCCGTAGCAGTATTTATTTTAGCAGACCTGTACAATGGCACGTCAACAAAACTGGCATGTAACGGAATTCACATGCTGAGATGAATCTTTACCAAATAAGCCTGACATCAAGATTATTTCACATTTCTCCCTAACAGAAAGGTTTCTAAAAACAGAGAGGGCATTTCATTACAGGCATTATCCACATTTACCTCTTGCACCTAAGACAGCTCCTGTTGCACAGCCTCCTATGAAATAGTTCAAGGGATCCTCTGGTTCCTCTCGGATTTGGGCACTGAGGCAGGTAGTTAAGCCAAACACAGCTCCTAGTGTAGCTGTAAACAAGAGGTAAAAAACCAAAACAAAACCCCTCAAGGAACTGAGAATTACACACGTACAAAGCACATTTTTGAGACGCGCGGTGTTGTACAACGGTTCCTCTGGGAAAAAAAAGATCAGCTTTCGATTACCCAGGGGCATCATGTCATAGCCATTTTGGTGAGACTCAGCATTATGAAGTCCCATCTGGTTCCTTCTGGTACCTCCTCCACTCCAGCCGTGCAGCCACCTCTGTGCCATGCAGGTTCCGTGCAAGCAGGTCCAGCTCAGCAGTTAGCTGGATCCCCAGGAACCCTGCTGTGTGCCAGCACACAGGGCAGGCGCGTTCACATGGCTACGGACAAATGCCACCACATCCAGCTTGGTTTAATAACTAAGCTCAGACTTAATAAGAACCCCTCCAGGCGAGGCAATGGGGCAGCCCCCAGCAGCCAGGAGGTAAGAGAAGAGAGAAGCAGGTTTCTCTGTAGCACGTTTCCCCAGGGCGTAGGAAATAGGAGAGCTCTGTTTGGGCTCCGTGCTGAAACTCGGCTCCCAAGTCCCTGTGAATCCAGCCTCACAGGGATTCAGGCAGAGACACTCAGACAGCTCTGCTCTCCTTAAGGTCGGTTCGTCCCGGCACTTTACTCCTCTGTCTGCCTGGGGCTTGCAATGATTTTTGGATAGTAGAAAAATGGATTGAGTTTGTAAATTATTCTTTTTGTAAACTGATTTTGATTTTGTAAATTGATTTCATATATTAAGAAATTACAAAGTAGCATTGTCTTGTCCACTGAAATACATACCTCATCTCATCAGACCCTACATCTATATAACTGAAAAGTTTGGCAAATAGCTGTGTCAAGCAAATACACTAAAAGGTTTTCTTTGTTTGTAATACAGGTTCTTGATCATGAAATGTGAAACTGGCTACCAGGCACCATCTGCAGATTTCAGTTCATCTTTCTTGGGACCAACAAAAATGTCCAGGATAAAAATTTTCAATCTCTGTGGTAAACTAGTAAACCACAAGCTCATGTTACAAACCTCTGCAGTTCTTCAGCAGCAAATGCAATTATGCCGATCCTAAAATCAACTGAAAAGAGCACTGAAGAAACAAAACCCACAGACCGAAGACTGTATTTCAGCTTCCCTGCTTTGGACCAAGAGTCTGTAGGTAAAACACGTGGCTTCAGACCACAAGTTCCGGCCCCTTAACAGCGGACAGGATAAGCCCTTCCTCAGGTGCGAGAGCTGGTGAGAGGATCCAATACGCTGGTTTAGGATTACGGGATTTATTGAAATCATAATTGGTTACGTTATCTGGTCCACTCTAATGACCTTTTATGGCTCAACTCATTACAGGAGATTCCAGGTCCTGCTTTAGAGTTGAACAACTCAAAAATGCAGATCAGACCAGATTGTGAAGCTTGTGAACCAGCTTCCAGTTCAGAGCAGCAGCGCACGGGGAAAGACAGAGGTGGCGTAAAACATTAAATTAGACTGAAAAACAAGATGAGTTTGGTGAGAAGAAAACTGTGTGCTTGCCAAGGGGCTGGGGGAGCTTCAGCCTTGTGGATCTGCACCTGGAATAGCCCCCTCAGTTCCCTGCTCATCTCTTCAGTGACCACTTTCTCTTGCAAAACACAGACAATTTAAGACAACTGAGTGGTTTCCTCTTGGCTATACAGCATGATGGGAAAAACCCTACATTTATTTTCCTTTTGCCATCAAAAACATTGTGTTTGCTCTTCAGCAAGAGTGATTTATTAAGTGCAATGCCTAAATAGATGAAGTAAACGAGTAAGATAAGTTTGCTTCCACTATACTTTTGCCCAGAAACTAGCTGTTTTGCAAATACTGAAAGTGTGTACCTTTTACTTTAGACTGCAAAAAATGCATTACCTAAACTTTAAATAAACAACGTGGCTTTAAATAAAGAACGTGGGAGGCAGAGACTGCCTCAGATGCACCTTCAGCCTGAGCCGACACAGCTGTGCTTCTGCCTCAAGCATTAATCCAGGAGTTTCTTTTGCCATCGCCCACATCATTACCGGTATGACATTATCCAGGTGTGAATAACTGTTCCATTCCATGCTATGCTATGCTATGGTGTCCCTATTTGACATATAAATAAGCAGCGTGTTAGAGGAAATACAGCAAAAGGAAACAGCAACTGCAAAGCTTTGTGCTTCCTTCAAGTCACGTTGGCATTTTGGCTCTTGGCTTCCATCCTTAAACAGCCATCTGCCTTCGAGGCCTGCGGAGGAGGGCAG